TGAGAATTCTAATCATATGAATGTAAGTTTCTTGGTTTTGACACAGTGAACTATTATGACTGATCTGTAAATTCTTTCTTCATTTTTATTTTGGACAGTTTTTATTATTATATTCAGTTATGTTTGTAAATAATTCATTTTCAATTTGCAATCTATTAAAAAATTAAAAAAATTTAAAAAAGAAAAGAAAAATCCATGTGAGAAAAAAATTAAGAAACTTCTGACATGGTTCCAGGTACTCAGTAGAAATGAAACTTGAAGTGGAGAAATGAGAAGCAGGACATGGCCCAGGGCTCTACGTCAGCCAGTGGCACTGGCACAGAATAACTCGCCCCAGTGGCAGCCCTAATCACCACCTCATCTTGTTGGGCAAGGCATTGTGATGTGGTCACTTGGCAGGGGCTGGGAAGCCCTGAATTATCCGATGAGTCACCTACCAGACAGCACAGTGTGGGTGAGAAAACTCTAGTCATGAAGTGGAGTACTTCCTTCAGAAGTGACCTGAAAGCCACATGTGGTAGTGGTTAGAAATCAGGACTCCTTTCCCAGTGTGACCACAGCTACTGGGTAGGCTAGTGCAAGAGGATCACTTGTCCTCAGGAGTTCGAGACCAACCTGGACAACACTGTGAGATGTTAACTCATAGAAAGCACAGCAACAAAACTCAGGCCTTTTTTTGTGTGTGTGGAATTGGGGATTGAACTCAGACCCTTGCACTTGCCAGGGAAGTGCTTATTCTACTGAGCCATCTCCCCAGCCCCCTCAGGCCTTTTTAAAAACAAAAACAACAGAAAAAAAACCACCCCAAAACCCAAACCAAAACAAACTTTCTAATCATATAACTTATAATTGAGTTTTCACCTATAACTGAGTTTTCCAAGTTTGAAAGTTAACCAAATTATGACATTTGAAAACTGGCTTTAATGGAAGGGAATTAGGCTACAAAACTAGAAGTTGATTTTAGCAAATTATTTTACAAAATCTCCTATAATATATGTATTATCATATCACAGTGCACAGAGTCAGTATCTGCTGCAGGATGTTTAGGGCACATTTCATAACTCTGGAAACCTTGGCTTTTAACAGATGTAGGGTATGTTTGTGTGTATTCAGATACGCACAAAGACATAAAAACACTTCTCTGAAATCTAAACTAGATCTTTAAATTTCTGACCTCAGTCAGCTACTGTATTTATTTAGAAAAAAATCAAAGCTTGGGAGTGCCAGCGGTGCCTTCCACAGAGATGCTCTTTTCCTTTAGCTTCTCATCAGCTATCTAAGATGCTAAATACACCAAGCCTTTCCCTCTTGAAAATCACCTTGGTGGACTATAATTATTTCAAGTTCTATTTGGTCACAAATGTTGCACAGTTTAGATAGAAACATTTTTGTTCTTATACAGCTATGCATAAGAACATGTGATCAGAAACCATCCAAAATGAGGGAAGCTTCCTTCTCCTAGTTAGATCAATCCTTGGTTGTATCTGGAAGACAGGAATGACCAGAAATGCTGCGAGGTGTCTTCTGCTGCTTATGCCAAAGAAACAAAAGTAATTGCACAAGGTATTTGGTTCTTGGGAATCTGCAAGGCGAGGACTAGGCACGGATGGGAGTCAGTTCTAGGTAAGTTGTGCCAGCATCTGATCTGTGTTGAACAAATCCAAAGCTGCAGATGAAGCTGGGTGGGCAGCATACTCTACTGGCCTAGCAAATGCCTGCCTTACAATTCTGTAGTAAGGCAGAGCTATGCTTTGCACAAGGGAAAGTGAGTTCCCCAAAGGCTCACGTGTTGGAAGCTTGGCGACATTGAACAGGGTGGGCCCTTTAAGAGGCGGCACCTTGGGGGAGGTCACTTTGGTCTGCTATCTTGCCACATGATTTCTGGCTCTCACAGTGCTCCCTGCCACTGTGACACCTTCTGCCTCGCATAGGGTCCTCACTAGAGCTGAGTCACTGCAGGCACCGTGTGGATGGAAACCTTTTAATACCTAAAAGGAGCCTCTTTCTAAAGTACTCATCTAGAAGTATTTCACTACTATATATACTATACTTTCCATTTGTAATGGAAAACCAATACAAATAGTTTAGGATGGTTACCCTTGTATTCCCTGCCTTAAGCAGATCTTTTTATATACAAGAGACCACAAGCAAGCTATCTGTTGGGAGTAACATTATCTGGCATCTCCTGGTGTTTTTAAATACTGAAGATAAAACTCCTTGTAGCTGGCAGGGAAGACCATGTTCACCTAGGCTGCACAGATCACATAACAAATATGAGCCCCTCAGCTGGAAAATTGTTTCTATCATGCTAGGGGGCATCACCACCATCTCTGATGCTTTACCAGGAAAAGAGGTGATAAGCCTCTTAATTTTCATTTTGATATACTGAAGTGGATTAGAGCTGATCTGTAATAATTGTTGTAACAGTCTGTTTAAAAAACAAATTGGAAGCAAAAGCTTTATTCCAACACCTGGCAATGGCGCTTTCCCTTAACATCTTCCCAGGAGAAGTGCAAGAGCAGGACTGATGGCTTGAGTGAGCGCTGTGGTCCTTCGAGTACTGCCAAACTCACAGCAGGGCAGAGACGCCAGGACCTGCTTTACCTGTGCTACTTACTGATGCAGACAGCCTAGTCTGTAGCTAATTATATTAAGAAATTAATCAGTCATCTGGATGACACTTTTGCTTTTTCATTTGTGTATTTGGTACAGGGTCTCACTATGCAAATTGGACTAGCAGTGATCCTCTTGTTTTCAGCTTCCCCAGCACTGGGATTACAGGCATGCACCACCACGTCTGGACTCTGTCTTTAGCTCAGTGTACCTAGGGGTGGGGCTGGCATGGCATGCTGGACTGGGGATCAAACCCTAGTCCCTGTGCTTGGCAAAGCAGGTGCTTGGTCTACTGAGCTATCTCACCGGCCCTGGATGACACTTTCTGTAGTTAAAAGATGACACTCTATTCAGACACTGTCCAAAACCTAGGGATGGTTTTGTTTCATTGCTTTGGAAGTTTTGAAAATTTATTTTCTGGTCAAGGAGGTTGAAGTTATTTCAATAAGCCTGTCAAAAAGTTCTCTACAAACAATATGGCTCCTCAGAATGTTATACCGGGGTATTTCTTACATAGAATGATCTTCTCTCATTCATCCCTATGGCCTTAAACTACATATACACTGCTGGTGTCATTAACTTACTCTGTGCTGAGATAGAAGACTTAAAGTAGTTTAAAAAATTCACCTGAGTATATAATCCCCTGGCTAAGGAATTGGTTTGGCAGAGACTTAAAAATGCAAATGTTGAGTCCCAGCTCAGGTTAATTCAAAACCTTTGGGAGCAAGGATGCACATGGGCTGGAATACATTTCAAGAAAAACAATTGTGAACATTGTTTTTATTGACATTTAAACACTCACATAAAGTAATTTGCTTTAGTGACAATTCTCCATATAAATTCCTTATACCAATACAATAAATTTCCTTCATAACACACTTAAGACAGTTAAAAAAAATCAAATTTCTTACCTGTATGATAAAATGTGAGAAAAAATAAAAGTACTCCCATGAACATATTACTTAAAAAAGTGACAACTCCACAAGTAATTCCTTCTGGAACTGGGTAGACAGTCTCCACAAAAAGCTCAAAAAATATAGGTACACTGCTATTCAAGAACACTCCCAGGAGAATACAGGAGGCATATAATGTCACTGAAATAAAAACACAAACATTTTAGCTTGGCAGCAGCAGCAGTGAGTCACAGCAGATAGCTCTCCTGGGTGTTCTCTTTCATAAGTACCAAGTCCAGAATTTCATCTTTGTCAACGGTAGTTGATAAAGTTTGATGAACATCACACACACCTGTTAGCTTTTTGTGAGGACTCTGAAGTATGAAAAGGTTTGCTGTTGAACGATTACCAATATGTTGGGTTACCTCTCTGGCGGATTATTTCAAAACACAAAAACAACTTGTCACTACGATATAATTAAAAGGATTCTTCTTGCTTTGTCATGTTCTTGGCCAATAGAGAATGATAAAATGTAGTAACTTCAAAATTTAGATTCACTTGATGATTTTAGTATATGTGCTGCCGAAGCGAGCACTCACTTGATGATTTTAAAGAGAACTTAAAATCTAAGAATAAACAAAAGAAACATTAAATGTTACTGAAAATTACATATTTAAAGAAATTGGTTCATAATACCTTGGAAGTATAAAATAAATATTATTCATTACGGAATTCCTAGAGAAATACTTACAATAGAACTAGTCCTCAATTTTGGAATGAGTTTTGTGCAATAGTTTCTTTGTAAGTAAAGAACTCTATCACCCAGAAAAATAAAATTGAGTGGTGGTTAGAATCCCAGATCAGTCCACTTATAAAAGTCTGTGAATGAAATCAGTTAAGGATGTTATTTTTATTCTTATAAGAATGTTTATGGAAATGTATTTCATTCTAAGTTTATTATTGCTACTCTCTGTTGTCACTAATTTTTATTTTATTTTTTGTCTTTTTGAGACAGCATTTCACTACACAATTTAGGCTGGCCCTTGAGCTCACTTTGTAGCCCACGCTG